GGGTCACATCACAGTGGAGTCAGCTGTCTTAACCGTGGCTTGTGTACTGCAAACACATACCAGCTTCATCACTGTGTCTGTCACGCGACTCTGGTTCACCTTTCGGGCTCTGTCTTTACATTTATTTTGAAAGATGAAGCTCGTGATTATGGTAAGGGGCGTTACATTTCCGACGAGTGCTTGCGGTGTTCGGCCAATCACAATGCACTGGGTCAGCTGGCCAATCAGAGCAGACTGCGCTTGTCGGAAGGAGGGACTTTGTAGAAAACACAGCGTTTGAGAGAGGCGGAGCATAGAGGACCTACAATAATGAACAGTATTTTAAAAATAATGTGTTTTTTGAACATTAAAGCATGTCAACATTCTGTTACACCAAATAACGATCTTTAAAAAAAAAAAAAATAATATGACCCCTTTAAATGTTCTTGCGTTTTCTCTCTCTCTCTGTTGAACACACCCAGTTTTGTCTTTCACAAACAAACACATATTTAGTTGGATAAAAACAAAGTACACAAAGTGCTTTTGTGTTCCATTCAATTCTATTTTCAAGAGTGAGAAAGCTTCTGTGAACAATAATACAAGAATAGACCAAAAAAAAGAAACAAAGCCAATTATTTTCCCAAATACTCCATAAATCATAAACTAACAGAAAAGCAGCAAACAAAGCAGCATGGAAATAAATAACTCAATAGTACAAATAAGAGTGAGGTGGAGTGCATTCAGTGACAGTAACAGTGAAACAGTCAAAACTGGTGTTTCTCGGTATGTATTTTACTTCTAAATCCATCAGGAGGCACCAGAGAGCTGAAGCGTAATAACTGCAGGTCCAGAGAGCGGTGGCCATCTTTGGGCATCCTCATGGGTGGAGGTGGCGGGGGGGATATGGACGGGTTTGCACCACCGTTACCATCACTTCCGGTGTTATTATTGGTGTCATCGTAATTGGCAGCGGTTTCCACGACACTGCTAGCGCTCGTTTTCTGGCAATGAGGAAGGAACGAGCCTCTATAGTATCGATGATACAGAAAAAACGCCACCAACAGCATCAGCATGATGAGCAACATGAGCAGGCCGAGGACAATATAAACGCCCCTGAGGATTGTGGGAGATGGTGTCCAACTACAGTCTAAAAAGTGAGGGGAGACAAAGATTAAGTTATGAAATGTAATGACAGAATTTAAATTTTTAGCTCAGCTGTCCTTTTAAAGGGATATGAAAGCGGTCTAGTTCAAGTTAATATCTGAAAGCTCCCACAGAACAGTGCGCACCTGTCAATATAAACTTCAGAATATCAAGCTCTTACCAGGTTCAGTAGACGCCATACAAACGCTGTCTCCCGGCCCATGAGGAACCTCACGGTAACCATGGGTACAGTGACAGGAGTATGATCCAAACCGATTCACACACTCAGCGTGAGCATCACACACCACCATTCGCGTCTCACACTCATTGATGTCTGTTCAAACACACAAATGGCCATCAGAAATGATTCAGAAAAACAGGTGTTTTTGGTAAGATCACAGCTGCATAATATGTGTCCATGTAAAAGTATTTTAAATAATATGTTTCTAATTCTTTTATAATTATGTGCTTTTGACCATATGGGAACGAATGAACGACATACATACCATATATACATAACATGCATACATAACATATATACCTTTTTATTTGATATAAAATGGATATTTAACTAAATATTTTGGAATCTATAATTTCTATAAAATCAAAGCCCTATGTCTAACCAAGTTATGTGTTATGTTCCAAATTTGAAGTTGATCACAAAAAAAAAAAATTAAAAAAAAAAGGTTCCTGTAGCCATCGGGCTACACCCAAACTCCATTGAATTCTTAAATAAATTTTCCTGTCACAAATCTCAGAGACTCACGAGTCTCAGACCTTTCCTTTGTCAAGATTAGAAAAAGTTGATTATAAAATATTGTAGTAAGTTCTATAATTTTACACTTGACACTGCCCAATAGGGGGAGGAGCCCGATAAAAAGGTTTAAAGTACCATTTCCATGGTAACCCAATGTCCAATTTCAAAACTGTTTTCATAAGATATAGCTTTTGTATGATATCCAATTAGGATGAACTAAAATATGTAACAGGGGAAAAAGGCAATTAAAAAGAAAGTGAAAGTGAAGTGAAGTGACATGTGGCCAAGTATGGTGACCCATACTTGGAATTAGTGCTCTGCATTTATCCCATCCAAAGTGCGCGCACACACACACACACACACACACACACACACACAGCAGTGGGCAGCCATTTTTGCTGCGGTGCCCGAGCAGTAGTTGGGGGTTTGGTCAAGGGCCCCTCAGTCGTGGTATTGAAGGTGGAAGAGAGCGCTGTACATTCACTCTCCCCCCCTACAATCCCTGCCGGTACGAGACTCAAACCTGCAACCTTTGGGTTACAAGTATCAAGCTCTTACCAGGTTCAGTAGACGCCATACAAACGCCGTCTCCCGGCCCATGAGGAACCTCACGGTAACCATGGGTACAGTGACAGGAGTATGATCCAAACCGATTCACACACTCAGCGTGAGCATCACACACCACCATTCGCGTCTCACACTCATTGATGTCTGTTCAAACACACAAATGGGCCATCAGAAATGATTCAGAAAAACAGGTGTTTTTGGTAAGATCACAGCTGCATAATATGTGTCCATGTAAAAGTATTTTAAATAATATGTTTCTAATTCTTTTATAATTATAATGTGCTTTTGACCATATGGGAACGAATGAACGACATACATACCATATATACATAACATGCATACATAACATATATACCTTTTTATTTGATATAAAATGGATATTTAACTAAATATTTTGGAATCTATAATTTCTATAAAATCAAAGCCCTATGTCTAACCAAGTTATGTGTTATGTTCCAAATTTGAAGTTGATCACAAAAAAAAAAAAATTTAAAAAAAGGTTCCTGTAGCCATCGGGCTACACCCAAACTCCATTGAATTCTTAAATAAATTTTCCTGTCACAAATCTCAGAGACTCACGAGTCTCAGACCTTTCCTTTGTCAAGATTAGAAAAAGTTGATTATAAAATATTGTAGTAAGTTCTATAATTTTACACTTGACACTGCCCAATAGGGGGAGGAGCCCGATAAAAAGGTTTAAAGTACCATTTCCATGGTAACCCAATGTCCAATTTCAAAACTGTTTTCATA